CGGTGACTTGCGGGAGGTTACAACAGAGAGGTGTAGGCTCTACTTTTCAAATCTCCGGTCTTTTCACGTGTGTGTGTTCTTTACTTTTTTTTTTAGATTTTTTTTAGTTTTTTTTTTTTCTAAAACACCATTGACTGGGGACTTGGTAAAATTGTTGGTAACAGCGTCTCTATACACATCGTTATACATTCTCTTCTTGTTCCTCTTCGTATTTTTAGCAGCTTTACTAAGCCCCACAGTCGAGGGTATCTTCGAGCCAAGATCAACGAGACGACTCCACGAATTCTTTCTCTTTTCTGCAACTTTTCAATAACAAGCGAATTATAACATATTTACACATTTACACACACATATATATATGTTTCTTTTCTATAGTTATACGTATATATATATTTTTTTTTTCTTTTGCTAACTTGAATTATTCGTGTTTATCGATGGCTCGACGATACGATCTAATTAATATATACGCGCGGAGATTTGAACACGCTAGGTATGACACAAAAAAAAAAAAAGAAAAAGAAACTGTACACGACGAAAGTGCAAAGTGCTCCTCGCTATCGGAAAGGTTGTTTCTTTTTTCTCTCGTTGGCAAAGAAAATCGTCGGTAAGGCATTCGTTTGAAAAACGGCACTTCGAAAATTTCGTCGGCTAACACAATCGGACAAGGGGGCGGGGATTTTAGTATATATGGTGGTAAACGGGGGGTGGATGGGTATAGCATATCGTCAACGAGTGGCAGCAGTGCGTCTCGAAAGTGTCGAAATACAATCGGTAAGAGTAAAGGCAACGAAACAACTCAACAATCGACTAACAATCTGTCACCGTACACGGTGTCCCGGAATTTTCCCGGTCGAAATGGCGGCACAGAGAAGATTTTCTATCGGTGTGATCCAAAAATTAACCTGTCAACTGGGTTCACCTCTATAACAAACGTAATTACAATCGGTCACTCCATTTTGGTTCTTGCAAATGTGAATAAAAGCTGTATTCTGCTTTTGATGCAGTGCTTACTTCAAATTAAAAAATAATAACAGAATAATTCTTCGATAATTAAACTACTGTGCTCTAAGTATTACTGACTCAACGACAATTGATCTTGTCCCCAGTTAACGTTTCCACCATTTTGACTAAAAAATCTCGAGACCGCTTATACAGTGACCAAAAAAAAAAAAAAAGAAAAAAAAGATAATGAAAGGAAGAACGCAAAGAAAATACATTCCGTTAGCGTACGTGACTCTTTCCACGAAAGAATCATCGACTATCCAAGAACAAGGCCATGATCGTCGATCGAACAGCAAAAATGTACTATGTATATGTAAAATAGAAACAACTACGGGGGGTTCCACAGACTATATCTCGGACAAATGTATGCCGATACATGTGTACCATACACTGCATTACTTCTACATATCATATGCGTCTAAATTCGTTCCTTTTTTTTTTTTTTTACTCTAACTGTCGGTGAAAGAACAAGTGCGAGCACAGGCGAATGGTAGTATATATCGCTTCTCTATGCAACTATGGCTCCAAGCTACGTTTCGAGGCGTCGTCAGCATCTCGAATACACACTCTCTCTCTCTCTTTCTTTCTCTCTCGGCTCGAGGAAACGCTCCGCGTTCTCGTGACGACCGATTCGAAGAGTCGCGTGTGAAAAAATCAGGATCATTTTCTTTGTATGCTTTTTCAATCGCACTTTTTTTGCTCGTTACAAGTGGAAAGTGAAATTTTGTTCGGGACAGAAGTTGGCTCGTTTGGTAACCAGGCGCGCATGCTCACCGCGAGAGACTCGACTCTTCAAATTGGAGAAAAAGAAGGATTATAACGCAGGACCAATTATGGCGGTCAAGAGCTGAAGAAAAGAACAAAAAAACGCTTCGTCTGATTTCCATGCAGCTGTCAGCATGTGTGACAGCCGTCCATTCGTCACGATTCTATTTAATATATATGTATAAATATAACGTACACGTTTGTTTTTACTTTTTTTTTTTTTTCATCAGATTCTTATGCATTTCTCGAAGATTATTTT